GGCGGTCCGGGTCACTGATAATTGGATATGTCGATGGCGCAATTCACGCACAGCTGATTTCATCTGCGCTCCGGTCGCACGACCAACGTATTCGATCAATTAATCTCAAACTTCTTCCGATGCGCTCGCAACAGCAGTTTGAGAAGTTGGCGGCAGGTGAAATCGACATCGCGCTAACATATGCAGCCCCCTTTAAAAGCGACGAAATTGTCAGCACCAAGATTCATTCTGAAGCGTTTGTCCTCGCTGGACCAGCAGGGTCCGGTCTGGGCAACAAGATTCACGCCCGCCAGCTAAATGGGAAGAAATTTGTATGTCTACCAGAAAACGATTTCCCCGATGCACGGATAGCCTTTTTACAAGCCTGCCGTCATGCAGGCTTTGAACCTGACATCAGCCTGGAAGCGACAAGCCCATTGGCCGCGCTTGATTTGGTTAGTGCGGGACTTGGGTTTGCAGTCGTACAAGAAAGTCTGACGAGACTATCCATAAAGGACGTGAGCTTCCATTCGCTGCCGACCGATTTTCCGCAGAATGTCGAAATCCATCTGTCGCATCGTCCTGCCCCTGCCTCACACGAACAAGTTTTTTTGAATGCAATCTGTGACGGACAGCCTATTTGACCATCGCTTTGTAGAGTCGTGGTGCCGCCTAGACGTGCTGGCCGCCATTGATGTGGATCTCAGCACCATTCACATAGGATGATTGGTCGGTGCAGAGGAAGTAGATGGTGCGTGCTACTTCTTCAGGCGTGCCTAAACGCTGCATCGGAATTTCAGCTACGATCTTGTCAGTCCCGGGGGACAGAATTGCGGTGTCGATTTCTCCAGGCGCAATTGCGTTCACACGAATACCTCTGCGGCCAAAGTCCGACGCCATTTCTCGGGTGAGACCCGCGAGCGCAGACTTCGATGTTCCATATGCCGACCCGGCAAATGGATGAACGCGGGTTCCTGCAATTGACGTCACATTCACAACCGAGCCTTTAGCAGAGGCAAGCTCCTCCACCAATCCGCGCGCAAGGCTCACCGGTGCAAAAAAGTTCACTTCAAACACCCGGCGCCAGGCTTCCATATCGGTCTCGAAGACACCCAAGCGGCTGCCATCCTCCGCTTTGGGGGAGATCGCAGCATTGTTGACCAGCGCGTTCAGATGACTGCCCTGGTCCCGCAAACGGAGCCTCATTTCAGCGACCGCATCTGCAACATTTTCTGGATCCGCCAGATCGACCTGAATGTGATCTTCAGGCCCCGCTTCCCACGGACAGTCCTCCGGAAACGGATGCCTGGAACAGGTGATCACCCGCCATCCAGCGCTTGAAAAACGCTTCACGGTCGCATGCCCAATTCCGCGGCTTGCCCCTGTGAGAATGAGGGTCTTTTTGTGGTTTAATGGATCGCTCATGCAGGCAATCTAGTGGAACGCCGCAGTCATGACCAGCGAGAGCTTAGTCACATAGTCTTTATTACTATGATGTTGGGGGCGTTAGGTTCAGCGCGGCACGGACACTGGATAGAACCGTCCCGGGCTCTTCCGCCGTCTCAACCACGGTCCAGTTGAGATCCCCCACGTCGTAAGAAAGCTGCTGCCTGACGATGCTGGTGTCCGCGTCCGAAGCGTCGGTCCCAGCCTCAGATCTCTGCTCAACGCGAGATTCCAACAGTTTTGCAGGCGCACTGAGCCAAATGCCGTCAAACGGAATTGACCGGCTTGTTGCCACCTGCTCAATCAGGGCCCGTTCTATCGGTTTCGCAAACACGGCATCACAGATCACCGTTTGACCGGCATCCAGTGCGAGGCCCGCGAGCCGCGCCATCTCAGCATATACCTTATCGCTGGCCTCCTGCGTGTAGGCATCAGATGCCAGACGATCTGCATTGGCCACACCAGCCAGTCTTTTACGGATAATGTCTGTCCTCAAGTGAACCGCGCCTGCCATTCCGCCCAACTCAGGCGCCAACAGTTTGGCAATTGTGGTCTTGCCGGTTCCTGACAAGCCGCCGATCGCATAGAGCCTTGCCTCTTTCGCCCGCAACAACTCCTCTGCAAACTCGGCATAGGCCAGCGCAAGACCCTCGAGCGCTGAAGCATTGTTATTTTCGGCGCCGGACATTCTTGCGCTGACATGGGACCGAACACTTGCTCTGATGCTCATAAAAAATGGAAGCCCCCGCAAACCACTCAAAGTTTCTAAAAGATCGTCGGGTGTTTGTGCCTGCAGATACGCATTGAGCGTGGCATTCGCCTGTGCAGCTAGCCGTAGATCCGCCTTCGCTCTGAAGGCCAGGTCCATGAGCAGAAAGGCAAGATCATAGAGTGTGTCGATGCGTGCGAATTCGTCGTTAAACTCGATGCAATCAAATGGCACCGGCTTCCCATTGAAGCACACAACATTGTTTAGATGGAGATCACCATGGCAGTGGCGCACCCAGCCCGCCGTGCGACGTTCTTCGATAAGCTCGGACAAAGCTTCGAGGGTTTCTGCATAGAGACAGCCCAATCGGTCAATGAGGTTCGGCGGATATACCCGTCCGACAAAGGGATCAAAATTCTTGCGATTGCTCTCAAGAATTTCCGCAAAGCGCTTCTGACCGCCATCCGTCCGGCTCACCTCAGCGTGTTTATGAAACTGTTCCAATTGCCGGGCCAGCTTCTCGACCATCGCGACAGTCAACTCGCCGCGACCTGCCATTTGCGACAGAAGGTCGGATTGATCAAAGCGGGCCATCTTCACAACCCAATCAACAATAGTGCCGCCAGCACTCTCGCCGAGCACCAGCCCGTCATCCGTCTCAGTTACAGGAACTATGTCGAGATAGAGCTGTGGTGCTGTGCGCCGATTAAGCTTCAGTTCTCGTTTGCAGGCATTGTAACGCGCATCAAGCGTTGTGAAGTCGAGATAGGCGAGATCAACCCGCTTCTTCAATTTATATGCATTCGGCCCCACTAAGAAGATAACCGAGATATGGGTATCAATGCGTTCGACAAATGTGTCCGCAGAAAGTCCATAGGCTGCGGGTGTCGCCAAAAACCTCTCGACGGCGACTGCGTTGATACCGACCATTAGGTCCGCTCGAAATCCGTAATGATCTCAACTCCGGCAGGGTCCTGATGCGACAGAACCTCGCTGCCAGGGAAAGCGTGTCGTACTGCCCCTTCAACCCGGTCCGCAACTTCATGCGCGTTGGTCAAGCTCATGTTCCCATCAAGCTCCAGGTGAAACTGAATAAAGAGCTTGTTGCCTGCCATTCGTGTGCGCAGATCATGCATGTTCTGCACATCCGCATCCTTCAGAACGATGTTCCTGATCTTGTCGCGTTCTTCCTCCGGCAATTCCTGATCCATGAGCTGCTGCACAGACTGATCGGCTATCTGCCAGGCGCTATAGGCGATGAAACATGCAATCAGGATTCCGAACAGAGGGTCCGCCCAAATGAGCCCCGGAAAGGCAGACAGGGCCAAGGCGGCGATCACAGCAAGGTTCATCAACAGATCACCCTTGTAGTGGATCGAGTCGGCAGCGATGGCCAGAGAATTAGTCGCTCGGACAACTTTTGTTTGGTAGGCAACGAGCACCAATGTCAGTGCGATTGCAATCACAGTCACGGCGATCCCGATCCCAGAGCTGGACACGGGTTCCGGCTCGATCAAACGCGATCCAGCCTCCCACAGGATGTAAATCGCCGACAAAACAATGATCGTCGCCTGGCCCAACCCTGCCATTGCTTCAGCTTTGCCATGACCAAAGCGATGATCATGATCTGCCGGTGTGAGTGCAGCACGAACCGCAAATAGATTGAGGACCGAGGCCGCCATGTCGAGCATTGAGTCGAACAAGGTTGCCAGCATCGCCACAGACCCTGTGACAAAAAATGCAGCTGCCTTCATCGCAATCAATGAGAGTGCAATACCAACTGCCGCATAGGTGGCGCGGCGCATCAGCCTGTCGTTCGTGGCACTGCTCATTGTTTGATCATTGGTCATCGGATCACGGGAAAAGTTTTGATGTTTGCCATGGTGCGTCAGCGGTCTCCCGGCGGAAGACCAAACGGTCATGCAGGCGAAAAGGCCTGTCCCGCCAAAATTCAATCTGGCTTGGTACCAGACGGAAACCAGACCAGTGGGGCGGACGATCTACTTTCTTGATGGCGTATTTGGCGCCATATCGCGCAACTTCTTTTTCCAGTTCAAATCGCCCTTCCATCGGACGGGATTGTCTCGACGCCCAAGCACCGATCTGACTGTCTTTAGCACGGCTGGCAAAATAGGCATCTGCTTCCGTATTGCTCACAGGCGAGATGGCCCCACGCACCCGAATTTGGCGGCGGAGTGATTTCCAGTGGAAGCACAGCGCAGCTTGGGGGTTCTCGGCCAGTTCCGTGCCCTTCGCGCTTCCCAGATTGGTGTAAAACACAAACCCTTCCGGGCTTGCGTCCTTCAGGAGAACCATCCGGACATCCGGCAAGCCCGAAGCGTCTGCCGTTGCCAGTGCCATGGCATTGGCGTCGTTTGGCTCAGATTTCTCAGCTTTCGCCATCCACTCTTCAAAGAGAGCGAACGGGTCCGTGCCGGTGATGCTTTCTACGTCTGTGTCCGCCATTGCGGTCCTCATACCTTGCTGCCGTTCCAACGAGCGTCTGGGGCCTTATTTTGGCCCTGCGGGTCCTCTTATATAGTCGACATTATATATAACCGTCATTGGGACCTGTCCCAGATTCGATACCACGTAAAGCGATAGCAGAACGCAGATGACTTTCACTCGCACATGCCAATTTGCGCTCACAGCCCTCACCCTTCTGGGACCCCTTGCCAATGATGGGCTTGCGACAGAAATCAACCAAGCAACCACTCCTGCTTCTCTGCAAGATTTGGCAGGGAACCAATTGGAGTTTGATAAGGGTGTCGCGGCTTACGATGTGGGCGACTACTCAACTGCCTATGCGATATGGCTCCCGCTTGCCAAATCCGGGGACATCGCTGCCCAACGCAATGTTGCGCACATGCTGCGCCGTGGTGAGGGCGTGCCCCAGGACCGTGAGCGCGCCTTATGGTTTTACGAGCGTGCCGCCAGTGTGGGACTTGCGAGCGCCGCCCTTAATGCTGGCATGATGCGCATTGAGCCAGACGCCCCATATCACGATCTTGAGAAAGGCGCGGAGTGGCTCAATCTAGCAGCAGCCGCTGGCAGCCCCGACGCCATGTGGGAGCTGGGATTGCTGATCGAAAACAGCGCCAAGAGTACGCCTTCAGACGTCAGTGCTGCACAGGCGCTCATTCAGCGTGCTGCTGAGCTTGGCCATGAAGAAGCCCAGCTTCGCATTGGCGAGGAAACGGAGGCGCCACTGTCCCCTCAACCACCCCCATCGCAAAGCAACACTCTGGCGCCGTCTACCGTACTCGTATCGCCTGAGCAGGGCGCGCGGTTCATGGCAGGCGTCCACCTGTTCGACGAGGGTGAATTCTTAGCCGCCGCCGAGCAATGGCGTCCACTCGCCGAAGAAGGCGTGGTCGAAGCGCAATATCGCCTGGGGCGTCTTTACCGATTTGGTCTGGGCGTCGGGCCAGATGTGGCCCTGGCTCGAAAATGGCTCACCGCCGCGGCAGCGCGTGGCCACGAAAAAGCGGCCAAAACACTCGAAATTCTGCCGGCTCCTTAACGATTTAGTATTCGTGCCGGGTTAGGTTTGATCATGCTTTTTTAACCATGATCGCAGAGTTTCTGAGCCAACACGAACTTCTCAGCAAACCCTGACTTCTCAGCGAACCCTTTCTGGCAGAGCTCTATGCGCAATCCCTACCATGTGCTTGGTATTTCACCGCAGGCCGGTCCTGATGAAATCAAATCAGCCTATCGGCGGCTGGCGAAGACCTATCACCCAGATTCTGGTTCGAGTGACCCTAAGCAAAATGAACGCTTTCACGAGGTGACCGCTGCGTATGACCTTCTGAGCCGAAAAGCCAAGGCATCTGACAGAAACGGCCCGACGAGGCGGCGCCATGCTGCGCGAGCTGCTGCAGATGGTCCGAATACAAAAAAAGCTCAGCCATCCCATCAAACACGACCAAAAACTGCGTCACAACCAAAACCGGCGAAAAAGGCTGAGGCCCGACCCGAGCCCTCAGCAGCAGATGAAGCGATCTCACCAAAATCCGAGAAATTCCCACCTTTCGCTGACATTCTGACCAACCTGAAGAGTGCTGGTCGACGCGCCTTTCGAACAACAGGCGCAGATCATACCTACAATCTCAGCATTCCTTTTCTGGATGCCGTTGAAGGCACCAAACGCCGCCTCACTCTGGACAATGGGAAGTCGCTGGATGTCCATATTCCAGCGGGCGTTGAAGATGGTCAGCAGATCCGGCTTCGGGGTCAGGGCGACCCAAGTCTAACCGGACGGGATGCAGGAGATGCTCTTGTCACCATATCTATTGCGCCCCATCCCACCTTTCGTCGAGAAGGGGCTGATGTTCATATCGACGTGCCGGTAAGCCTTCCTGAGGCAGTGCTTGGCGCAAAAATCACAGTTCCGACCGTGGAAGGCGATGTTTCAGTGAGCGTCCCTGAAGGTTCTAACAGCGGCAGCGTGCTTCGTCTGAAGGGCAAAGGCTTGGCCCACCCGCCAGGTAGGCGGAAATTCGGTAAGGGGGATCAATTTGTGCATCTGACCCTTGTTCTGCCACCCAAACACGACCCAGCCTTGAAAGACTTTTCAGCGACTTGGGCACCGGGCCTCCAACACACCCCTCGCAAGACCTGACCCATTTTGGATCACACCTCTGTAATGGTCTGTAATACAAGCGGTTTTTCGGTCCTTTTCGCTAGACCCCTAAGTCCATTTGTGTAGGATGCCGCGCTAATGGGGGCAGGAAATTCAACAAGATAGGGGGTCCCGTGACAGCATCTGGGACAGCATCCGGCGGCCTGATGAGCGGAAAAAAAGGGCTCATCATGGGAGTGGCAAACAACCGGTCGATCGCCTGGGGCATCGCGAAGGTTTGCGCTGACCATGGCGCCGACGTGGCATTCACCTACCAAGGGGAAGCCCTGGCCAAGCGTGTGAAGCCGCTGGCTGAATCTGTTGGCTCAGATCTCGTTCTTCCTTGCGATGTGACGGATGATGCCTCAATGGACGCTGTCTTCAAAACGCTTGAGGAAAAGTGGGGCAAACTAGACTTTCTTGTGCATGCCATTGCCTATGCCGACAAGAGCTCGCTTGATGGTCGCTATCTCGACACCACAGCTGACCAGTTTGCACAGGCCATGAACATTTCCTGTCATTCGCTTGCTGCAGTCGCCAAACGTGCGGAGCCCCTGATGGCTGATGGGGGTTCTATTGCAACCCTCACCTATTATGGCGCAGAGAAAGTTATCCCCCACTACAACGTCATGGGGGTCGCGAAAGCGGCACTTGAGGCAAGTGTGCGCTATCTCGCCGTTGATCTCGGCCGGAACAATATCCGCATCAACGCCATCTCGGCCGGTCCGATCAAGACGCTGGCCGCGGCAGGCATTGGCGATTTTCGCTACATCCTGAAGTGGAACGAGCTGAATGCACCAATGAAGCGGACAGTGACCATTGATGAAGTGGGCAAAACTGGTCTTTACCTGCTTTCTGACCTTGCATCGGGCGTCACAGGTGAAGTTCACCACGTAGATGCGGGCTATCATGTGGTCGGCATGAAGGCTGAAGATGCACCAGACATGAGTATTGTCTGATTTCGGCGTCGCGTTTCCGTTTTCCGTGATTATCAGCTAGAACCTGCTCAATCGGTTTAATGGGGTAGGACACATGTCACACAATACGTTTGGCCATTTATTTCGCGTGACCACCTGGGGCGAATCCCACGGGCCAGCGCTAGGCTGTGTGATTGACGGCATGCCTTCGCTTGTGCCTATCACGGCAAACGAAATTCAAACCTTCCTTGATAAGCGCCGGCCGGGTCAGTCACGATTCACCACTCAGCGCAAAGAACCCGACCAGGTAAAGATTCTCTCTGGCACGTTCCAGGACGAGAGTGGCCAGGAAGTCACGACTGGCACGCCCATTTCGCTGATGATCGAAAATGTCGATCAGCGGTCGAAAGACTATGGCGATATCAAAGACACATTCCGCCCTGGTCACGCGGACTTCACCTATGAAGCCAAATACGGCATTCGCGACTATCGTGGCGGTGGACGCCAATCTGCTCGCGAAACAGCGGCGCGTGTGGCGGCAGGTGCTCTTGCGCGCAAGGTCATGCCAGGTGTTGAAGTGCGCGGCGCACTGGTTCAGATGGGTCCGCACAAAATCGACCGTACACGGTGGGATTGGAACGAAATTGATCAGAACCCTTTCTGGTGCCCCGACCCTGTCGCGGCGAAGGAGTGGGAGACTTATCTTGATGGCATCCGCAAAGCCGGTTCCAGCTGCGGTGCGGTGATCGAACTCATTGCGAGTGGTGTGCCGGCGGGCCTTGGCGCCCCCATCTATGGCAAGCTTGATGCGGATCTCGCTGGAGCGCTCATGAGCATCAACGCTGTCAAAGGTGTTGAAATCGGCGATGGATTTGCAGCTGCGGCCCTCACCGGCGAAGAAAATGCCGACGAAATGGGCATTGATGGCAATAAAGTAAGCTTCGATGCCAATCATGCAGGCGGAATTCTTGGTGGTATATCCAGCGGACAGGACGTCGTCGCCCGTTTTGCTGTGAAACCTACCTCGTCTATCCTTACGCCCCGCAAGTCGGTTACCCGGTCGGGCGAAGAAACAGAGGTCATGACCAAGGGGCGGCACGATCCTTGCGTTGGTATTCGTGCGGTACCAGTTGGCGAGGCCATGATGGCCTGTGTTCTAGCCGACCATTTCCTCAGGCACCGTGGACAGAACGGCCAAGAAGAGAGCTAACATCATGACCGCACCAGCGCCCGTCTCCCCTCAGCCCTTGATGGCACGTTTCGATCAACGCAGCGGAGAGATGATGGTCTATGGCGGTGGCTTCTTTGGCTGCTTCGTGCTGAGCGTTGCGCTTGCCCGCGGTGACATCGCCCTCCTGATTGTCAGTTTGGCGCTTTTCGCTGTCGCCTATCACTTCTGGCCCTTTGTGCGGAGGAACACACCGGCAGTCGTCGCGAGTTCTGCGGGGCTCATGATAACAGGGCTCGGCACAGTCGGCTGGGATGCCATCGTCAACGCCACCACGGTGGATAAGGCAGTAAGGACCATCCGCAACACAGAACTGCACCTAACGCTCAGCAAGTCCCTCGACAAAGCATTGGTTGAGGAAGACATGGGCGGGCTTCAACGTCGTTTGATGGTGCAGATTTGGCGATACAATAAAGACACGCTGGTGATCCGGCTGGAACCGCTGGATGTTGCCCCGGAGCCGATCCTGGAAGCCGTTCAGGCTTTCCTCAATCAAAGACCGGTCTAGTCTGTTTTATGATCGCGTTTTCGCCCAACTCTCTTGGCGGATAACCGTGAACACTTATCCTGAAAACGCTTAGCTCTTCTCAAACATCGCCATCTTTGTCAGATAGCCGGTCTGTTGTCGGACCGCGTTTAGCCCAGCACGCTCAAACAGGGCCTCAAAATCCTCTTCCAAGTAGGTTGAGAAATAGGGCTCATGAAAAGCGACCGGGAAAAACTCCAGCAGGCTGTTAAAGGATGGATGATCATCTGTCTGCAAGGCGTCCACCAGGATGAACAGCCCGCCGGGCTTCAAAACACGGGCAATTTCGTCTGCTACCTGTCGCCGCACTTTAGGTGGCAATTCATGAAACAGGTAGGTCGCAGTGACAATGTCCTGGGAGGCCTTTTCCAGCGGCATGCGCTCAGCCGGGGCATTGACAAAGCGTGCCCGACCCCACTTTGACAAAGCACGCTTGGTTTTTGCGAGATAGTCCGGAGACAGATCAAGGGCTGTCACGCCCGCACGTGGCCAATTGCGCTTAACTTCCCGCAAGAAGCGTCCGGTGCCGCAGGCAATGTCCAGCAGACTCACGTCTCGCTGATCTTTGTCGCTCATATACTCAGAGATCGGGACCAGTGCCTGCCGCCGCATGGCGTCTGCAGTACCCGCAAAGAGCGTTTCCACCTGTGTGTCATAGAGATTGGCAGAGTCTTCTGAGAGCCAGCCATCTGTCTGGAAGTGAAAATTCTGAAGGTAGTAGCGGGGAAAGTGTTTGGCTTTCGCGCCGGTGTTTACTTCCGAGTGCCGACCGTCCATCCGACGCTCGTCCACTTTCTTTGCGTCCAATAAAAAACGGATCGCTTTATCGACAGGTTTCCTGGGATCGGTTCCAAGTTCTGGCGCTTTGTAGATGCCCGCTTCAATGTTTTGAAAGTCACGATCGAACAACTCGCGGATTGATTGCAGAATTTCGGGCAGTTTTGGGATTGGCGCTGTTGGCTTGAAGGGTGCCTCGCCTGGTCGGGTCACCGGCCCACGAAGGCGATTGACCGCGGCATAGTGCCCGGCATACCAAGCCACCCGGGCGCCCTGTTCTGCCGCATATCGCAATCTCGCTATAGGACGTGCTAAGGGCCGCAGCATGCGCCTCACTCCCTTTTAAAAATGCCTACCAGTTCAATATGGGGCGACCAGAGGAATTGGTCCAGAGGGGTGACAGATTCCAGCCGGTAGCCCCCAACAATCAAGGTGCGTGCATCCCTGGCAAAGGTCGCTGGATTGCAGGAAACCGACGCAATCACGGGTATCGACGATGTCGCCAATGCCTCGCACTGGGTGGCTGCGCCCGCACGTGGCGGGTCAATCACAGCGGCATTGTAGCTGTTCAGTTCATCATGCCGGAGGGGTCTGCGCGCCAAATCCCGGCGTTCAACCGCTAAAGGCTTCAAGCCCACGCGGGGACCTTGACGGCGAACGGCGAGTTCCAATGCCGCACATTGCGCCTTCGCTCCCTCAACTGCATGGACCTTATGGGTAGCTGCCAGTGCCAGGGAAAAAGTCCCGCATCCGGCAAACAGATCGACAATGGTTCCGCTCCCCTTGAGGGCCTCCACAACAAGGGAGACCATGGTTTCCTCGCCTGATTTTGTTGCCTGCAGGAATGCGCCCGGTGGCAAGGCCACCTCAATGCCCGCAAGGTCTAGCACCGGCGGCCTGCGTTCTGCGAGAATGTCTCCATCCCAGGTTAGACGCGCAATATCCGCTTTCGCTGCGCCGTCAGCGAGCGTCTGGCGCAAGCCCAGATCAGGATCAGCTTTCCCGCCGATGACCGACACATCAAGACCTGATGCAGTCGCCGTGACGCTCACGCTTGCTTTGCCTTTGCGGGTCAATCCAGGGCCCACCAATTCCCGCAAGGCGGGAATGGCCTCTTCGATCTCCGGCACCAGAATTGGGCAAGACGCGACATCAACAATCGTGTGGGTGGCACGTTCAAAAAAACCAAAACGGACCGTCTTACGGGTTCGCATCGCGGCAAAAGTGGCTCTGCGACGGGTGCCAGGTGCGCAGGGAATGATTTCAGCGACCGGCGCATCAATGCCCTTGCTCTCGAGGGCACGCACGAGCTGATCACGCTTCCAGCCAAGATAGCTTGGCTCACTTTGGTGCTGAAGCGCGCAGCCGCCGCAGGTTCCAAAATGGGAGCAGCGTGGATCGGTGCGGTCTTGCGACGGTGTGAGAACCTCCAGCAGTGAGCCACGGTCCTCTACAATGTCTGCCCGTACTGTTTCACCAGGAAGTGTCCGCGGGATGTAGATTGGTCCGGCATCCGTGCGGACTACACCATCACCCTGGGCACCGACATGATCGATTGTCAGGCTAGCTTCGCTCATGACTTCTCCGCATAAATCAAAAATTCTTTGTTGCCATCACTGCCTTCAATAGGACTGTCTATCAGACCTTTGACTACCCAGCCCATCTCATTTTGAAGCCAATCTTCTATGCGTTTGCAGACCTGTGCGTGGAGCCCGCTATCTTTCACGATACCGCCCTTCCCAACCTTGCCCGGCCCCACCTCAAACTGGGGCTTGATCAAGGCAATCAGCTCAGCACCAGCACGGGCAAAGCTCAGCGGGACGGGCAGTGCTTTTTCCAAACCGATGAAGCTCACATCACTGACAATGAGATTAATCGGATCCGGAATGAGTTCTGTGGTCAGCTCCTTGGCATTGGTCTTTTCCAAGGAGATCGCGCGGACATCCTCAGCGACTTCTGGTGCTAGCTGACCATGCCCCACATCAACCGCATAGACTTTTGCGGCTCCATTTGCGAGCAGGACTTGTGTAAACCCGCCAGTTGATGCGCCGACATCGAGCGCGACCATTCCTTCAGGGTTCACCGGAAAGACATCAAGGGCGCCCACAAGCTTCAGGGCGGCACGCGACACCCATTGCTGGTCCAATCCTTCAACGCTGAGTGATGCACCCTCGGCGACCGATTGAGATGCTTTCGACGCTGGCGCACCATCAACCCGCACGTGCCCCGCCTTGATAGCCGCTTGGGCTCGGGCACGGGTTGGCAGGATGCCGCGCTCGACCAGCGCGCGGTCCAGCCGTCCGGTCATGGGCTCAGGACTTTCCAGGAAGAGCGTTTGCGCGTTCAGCAGCCAACGAGATCAGTGCCTTTTCATGACCAAGTGCGGTCAGGGCCGTCCCTGCGATGTTCGGCGCTGTCAGACCAGCGGCAACGTACATCGCGTCGGGCTTGTCGTGATCCTGGAAAGTGTCCGGCAGGGTCAGCGTGCGCACTTTGAGACCACGGTCCATCAGACCGTTATTGCTCAGGAACTCAAGGACGTGGGCTCCAAAACCGCCTACAGATCCTTCTTCCACGGTGACCAGCACTTCATGTTCACGGGCCACACGGGCAAGTAGTTCTTCATCAAGGGGTTTGGCAAATCGCGCATCAACGACCGTGGTTGAAATGCCCTGCGCGGCAAGCTCATCAGCGGCCTTCATGGTCTCTTGAAGACGACAGCCAAGCGAGACGAGTGCCACTGTGGTGCCTTCGCGCATGATACGGCCTTTGCCGATTTCCAGCGGCGTGCCAATTTCGGGAAGCTCGATGCCAATGCCCTCGCCGCGGGGATAGCGGAACGCGCTCGGGCGGTCATCAATCTCAACAGAGGTTGCCACCATATGCATGAGTTCGGCTTCGTCCGCCGCCGCCATCACCACGAAATCTGGCAGGCAGGTGAGATAAGTAATGTCGAAGGAACCCGCATGGGTCGGGCCGTCGGCGCCGACAAGACCAGCGCGGTCGATCGCGAACCGGACAGGGAGCTTCTGGATCGCCACGTCATGCACGACCTGATCATAGGCGCGCTGCAGGAAGGTTGAGTAGATGGCCGCGTAGGGTTTCAAGCCCTCTGTTGCCATGCCAGCAGCGAAAGTAACTGCATGCTGCTCTGCAATCCCGACATCAAAGGTGCGGTCCGGGAAGGTTTTTGCAAATTGGCCAAGCCCCGTGCCGTCTGGCATTGCCGCCGTCACAGCAACAATCTTGTCGTCTTTCTCAGCGTGCGCCATCAGAGATTTCGCAAAGACGCTGGTATAGCTGGGCGCGTTAGCGGGTGGCTTCGACTGCGTACCCGTGATCACATCGAACTTGCTGACACCGTGATACTTGTCGGCAGATTCTTCTGCAGGTGCGTAGCCTTTGCCTTTCTGGGTCACCACATGAATGAGGATCGGTCCTTCATCGGCGTCGCGCACATTGCGCAACACCGGCAGGAGGTGATCCAGATTGTGGCCGTCAATAGGCCCGACATAGTAGAAACCCAGTTCTTCGAAGAGCGTTCCGCCGGTTGCCATGCCACGCGCATATTCTTCCGCGCGGCGCGCTTTTTCCTCAAGTGATTTGGGAAACATCTCCGCGATGTGTTTCGCGAAATGGCGGAACCCGCGATAGGTGCCTCCAGAAATCAGGCGTGCCAGATAGGCACTCATCGCGCCCACCGGCGGTGCGATGGACATGTCATTATCGTTCAGGATCACAATCAGGCGGCTGTCCATGGAGCCTGCATTGTTCATGGCTTCATAAGCCATGCCTGCGCTCATGGCGCCGTCGCCGATCACAGCGATGACGTTGTTCTTTTTGTCCTGCAGGTCGCGACCAACCGCCATGCCGAGGCCAGCGGAAATCGACGTTGACGAGTGTGCCGTCCCGAACGGGTCATAGTCGCTCTCTGCCCGTTTGGTGAAGCCGGACAGACCACCTCCCTGGCGAAGGGTGCGGATCCGGTCCCGACGCCCGGTCAGGATCTTATGCGGATAGGCTTGGTGGCCCACGTCCCAGATGATGCGATCATCGGGTGTGTTAAAGACGTAGTGCAGCGCGACTGTGAGTTCGACCACACCAAGGCCAGCGCCTAAGTGACCGCCGGTGATAGACACCGCTTCAATCAGCTCCTGACGCAGCTCATCTGTGATCTGAGGGAGGTCGTCGTCATCATGCGCGCGTAGGTCGGCCGGGATTTTGATCCGGTCCAGCAACGGCGTCTTACTCGTGGTGGTCACTCTGGTTCTTCTCTGACTCTGGCTTGTCGACTTTTAACCTGGGGCGATACTCGACCCGGGTTATCCGGTTCGCGATTGCAGTGCCTCATCTTCTCTTCAGCGTACGGCGAATTGAGGGCCGAGGTAAGGCCGCATTGCGCCGCACCTGCTTACGCGCTGCGGTTTATAACGAAGCTTGTTGCGCTGCGCAAAGAATCTGCTTTTTCATCAAACAAATCAAGGTGTTGAATGGCCTGATCTGCGAGCATTCCGGCCTGTTCGCGTGCCCTTTCAGGGCCCAGAATTGTGGCAAAAGTGGCTTTACCCTTGGCACGGTCTTTCCCGGCTGTCTTGCCAAGGGTCGCACTATCGCCTTCCTCGTCGAGCAAATCGTCGATGATCTGGTAAGCAAGGCCCAAATCATGGGCATAAGCATGCAGCGCATGGTGCGCATCTTTAGACGCTTTGCCCAAAATTGCGCCAGATTCGCAGGCAAATGCGATCAAAGCCCCGGTTTTGAGCTGCTGCAGGCGCGTGAGAGCTCCAATATCTAAAATGGTCCCTTCACTTGCCATGTCGATCATCTGGCCGCCCACCATGCCGTGAGTCCCGACGGCCTTCGCCAAACCCAGAACCAGATCGCAGCGCACGCGATAATCGTCATGGGTGTCCGCGTCGCCCAATATCTCAAACGCGAAGGTCAGGAGTGCGTCGCCCGCTAAAACCGCCGTCGCCTCGTCGAAGGCCTTGTGGGTCGACGGCCGGCCCCGCCTCAGATCATCATCATCCATACAAGGAAGGTCATCATGAACGAGCGAATAGGTGTGAACGCATTCGATCGCTGCTGCAGTGCGGAGCGCCCTGTCTTCACTCACGGTAAAGAGTTTGGCCGCTTCGCACGCCAGATAAGGACGAAAGCGTTTGCCACCGCCAAGCGTCGCGTAGCGCATGGCCTCTGCCACACGGCCCTCGGGGCCCTCAGGCATAGGGAGCAGACGGTCTAGGAGCAGCTCAACATCAGCTGCTGTGTCTTCCATTGCTTGGGTGAGGCTCAGATTGGCCATAGGTCACTCGATATTTGCAGGCTCAGCGCCCACATCACCATTTGCTGACAGGGTGATCTTTTCAACCTTAGCCTGAGCAGACTGCAGGCGGGCTTCGCAATGCGCTTTCAACAGGTTGCCGCGCTCATAAAGCTCAATGGATTTTTCCAGTTCGGCTTCACCAGACTCTAGTTGGCGAACAATTTCTTCCAACTCGGCCAGGGCCGCCTCGAAACTCATTTTCGCGATATCGGCTGGTGCCGTTGATTTACTGGCCGCCATGGCGTCCTCCGATTGGTCTTCAAGTCTTCGAGCCTACACGTCTGTGCCCATTAGGGTTGCCACATGAGCGCTGGTGCTTCGAGCAAGTGCGCCTAAGTCATAGCCTCCCTCAAGGGTCGAAACAATGCGACCATCACACGCATATTGAGCAACGCCCATCAACTCCTTGGTTACCCAGACATAATCTGGCTCTGTAAGATTGAGACCGGCCAAAGGATCCTCTTCATGGCCGTCAAATCCCGCCGAAATCAACAGAATGTCCGGGTCAAAAGCCCACAAGGCCGGGAGAATCACTTTCTCATAGGCCGCTCTGAATTCCTGGCCATCCGTCCCCTGTCCCAGAGGCACATTGACGATATTGCCGACACCGGTTTCGCTGGCGTCACCGGTGCCAGGATAGAGCGGTGATTGGTGGGTGGAGGTGTAGAACAGGTTTTCATCAGCTTCAAAAATGGCCTGAGTGCCATTGCCATGATGGACGTCGAAATCGACCACGGCTGCTTTCAACAAACCGTATTTTTCCCGCGCATAAAGAGCGCCGACGGCCACATTGTTGAAAAGGCAGAATCCCATGGGCGTTTCAGGTTCAGCGTGATGGCCCGGCGGACGCACGGCACAAAACGCGTTCTGCACTTGACCGGATGCGACAGCGTCGACGGCTCTGCAGACAGCACCGGCAGCTCTCAATGCTGCTTCGCCAGAGCCCGGCGACATGACGGTATCTGCATCGATGTGCACAACGCCCTTTGTCGGCATGCTCGCCATCAGGTCTTCGACATGGGCGCGCGGATGCACGCGCGCTATGTCTTCAACACTTGCTCTTGGTGCCTCTTCTCTCTGGAGCGCATCAAACTGGGGGTCGCTCAGTGCGTCCAACACAGCACGTAACCGGGCCGGGCTTTCCGGATGCCCCGCAGATGTCTGATGATCCAGGCACGCGTCATGGCTGAGCAGAAGTGTCGTCATGCCATAAGTGTCGCGTGACTTGAGGGTCGGTTCAAGCGCCGCTTCGCACGTACCAATCCACACCCTTGTCATCGCGGCTCACGGTTGCGTCTCCGCGCGCCACAAGACAGGACAGGTGTGCCAGACTTTCGCCGGTCGCCATGAAAAACACATCGGGCCCAATCTTCCGCTTAAAGAGAGCGGGAAACACATCAATGGCGCGCTTTGGTTCCGCGAGCATCTCCAGAAGTTTCGCAAGCCCGTCTTCGTGGCCATCCACCAGCGCGTCGAGGCGCCTATGGAGGCCATAAAAGGGCTCATTATGGGCGGGCAACACCAAGGCGTCTTCAGGCAGAGCGGCCTTCAGCTTCTTGCAGCTGTCGATCCATTCTTGCAGTGGATCTGCGTGGGCCTCTGTTGGGTGCAAGCTCACATTGGACGAGATGCGCGGCAGCACCTGATCACCTGAGATCAGAATGTTCAGCTCATCGCAGAAGAGACAAACATGTTCAGGGGCGTGGCCAGAGCCCACAATCACACGCCACTCGCGACCGCCCATTGTGAGTTTGTCGCCCTCCTTCAGGCGTTTGAAAACGTCGGGCATGCGCGATACACGCTCCCCAAAACCACCGAAGCGCTTGGCATAGCCTTCTACGCCTTTTTGAGAGAAACCAGCGGCACGGTAAAATTCCAAGGCGTCTTGAGGCGCTTCTTTGCCGGTATCCGCTACCAGCGTCCGGCACATCAGGTAATCCGTGCGAGACATTTCGAGGGTGACGTCGAACTTGCGCGTGATCCAGCCCGCAAGACCCACATGATCAGGATGCAGGTGTGTGACGATGACCCGTTTGACGGGTTTGCCGCCAAGTTTCTTGGTAAAAATCTCACGCCAGGAGGCTTTGGTCACATCGTCATTGACGCCTGTGTCGACGACGACCCAGCCGTCTTTGTCATCAATGAGCCAGAGGTTGATGTGATCAAGCGCAAAGGGGAGTGTCATCCGCACCCAATAGATGCCAGATGCAACTTCGCGAATTTCCCCTGCTTCGGGAATTCCCTCGATCGGGTAACTGAGACCCTTCTCATCAACTTCGGCTAAAGAGACATCACTCATAGGAATTTGTTCCCAAAATTACTGTTGGGCGGAGTGTGCCGAGTGTCAGAGCAGAGGTCAAACGGGGGAATGCCGGCTCAAGCACCCAATTGTTGCTCATCCAGCGTGAAAAGCGAGGCCGCCCCTGCCGTCGCCGGAGTCACAAGTCCTGCGCATGTGGGCAGGGTATTTTCTGCAAAGAAGCGTGCGGTCGCCTTTTTTGCAGCGAGATACGAATCGTCAGGGCTCTCGACAGCGGCGAGCGCCGCCTTTGTGAGATAGAGCCCCCCCGCTACATTCCCGAAGAGCTTGGCGTAAGGCGTCGCGCCAGCCAGGCAATCCTGCACGTTGCTTTTGCCGGTCTCCAACATCCAGTCTGTTGCTTCTTCCAATGCATCCAATGCATCCGCCAGAGCATGACCTGCAATGTTCAAATCAGCATCATTGTGCGCGGCAGCACTTTCTGCAGTCTCTCGGATTTCTCCAAGATAGGCTTTGACGACCTCTCCATCGCCAAGCGGCAGCTTGCGGGAGACAAGGTCAATCGCCTGGATCCCATTCGTGCCTTCATAGATCGGCGCGATGCGGGCATCACGATAGTGTTGAGCTGCGCCTGTCTCTTCGACAAAGCCCATGCCGCCATGGATCTGCAGACCGATGGAGGCGACCTCGACCCCTATGTCCGTGCTCCAAGCCTTGGCTATCGGTGTGAGCAGGTCAGCACGGGCCTGCCCCGCAGCTTTCGTCGCATCATCTGTACCAGCATGGGCGGTGTCGATTGCAACCGCGTTGGCATAACAGATGGCGCGCGATGCTTCGGTGAGTGATTTCATCGTCATAAGCATGCGCCGGACATCTGGGTGGCCAATGATGGCTCCCATCTCGCCCGCGGGAATATCCATGCCCTCAGGTCGTCCCTGCTTGCGGTCCAATGCATAGCCCAATGCCTGCTGATAGGCGCGCTCTGCCACGGCGACGCCTTGTATGCCAACAAAAAGACGGGCGTTGTTCATCATGGTGAACATGCAGGCGAGGCCCTTGTTCTCCTGACCAACCAGATAGCCGACAGCACCACCCTCTTCGCCGAACGACATGACGCATGTGGGGCTTCCATGAATGCCAAGCTTTTCTTCCAGCCCAATGCATTTGGCGTCATTGCGCGCGCCAAGCGATCCATCTTCATTGACAAGAACCTTTGGAACCAAGAAAAGCGAAATACCGCGGGTGCCTGCTGGCGCATCCGGCAGGCGGGCCAGGACCAGGTGAATGATATTGTCGGTAAAGTCGTGATCGCCGTAAGTGATAAAGATCTTGGTGCCTGAGATCAGATAGGTGCCGTCGCCCTGCGGTTCTGCCTTTGCTTTCAAGGCATTCAGATCAGACCCTGCCTGAGGCTCCGTCAGGTTCATCGTGCCTGTCCATTCACCAGAGATGAGTTTCGGCAAGTAGGTGGCCTTCTGTTCTTCCGTGCCGTGAGCCGTCAGCGCTTCAACGATGCCTTGCGAGAGAAGCGGACAGAGGCCAAAGCCCATGCTGCCCGCATTCCACATTTCCTGCAGGGCGGCTGCGAGCACAACCGGGAGACCCTGCCCACCATATTCCGGACTTCCCAGAATGGAGCCCCAGCCTGCCTCAACCCACTGCTTGTAGGCATCGGCGTAGCCTGGCGAGGTCTCCACGCCGTTGTCGGTCAGCACTGGATGGGTCTGATCACCGGCAGTATTAATGGGGGCAATCACATCAGCTGCGAGCTTCGACGCTTCTTCGAGCACCGCATCAATGAGATCATCACTCAGGTCGGGAAAGGCCCCTGACGCCTGCAACTTGTCCAGACCTGCGAGGGATTTAAGGGTAAATGCCATGTCCTGGACGGGGGGGCGATAGGTCATCTGTCTCTCCGGTAACTAGCTCGGGCGGCGTCTCAATTGAATTGCCACCTTTTACTGTATTCTCTCGTGAAGGCGAACTGCCTGAACCAGAAAATGGTGTAAAAGACGGGACAGTCCAGCTTTAAGCTCGCTTACTGACAATTTGCTCAATAAATCATGACCAAAAGTGTTTCCCCTGCCCGTGACAACTGAACTTCTGACCCCTGAAGCTGAAAATCTCGCCCGAGCTGCCGTTGCGCTGCAGGCTGGGCAGCTTGTCGCATTTCCGACAGAAACTGTTTATGGCCTTGGTGCGGATGCAACGAATGATGAGGCAGTGGCGGCGATCTTCGCCACCAAAAAACGTCCGACCTTTAATCCGCTGATTGTGCATGTGAAAAACCTCGCAGAAGCAGAGACGTATGCGCAGATTGGTGAAGTGGGACAATTGCTCGCGAAGCATTTCTGGCCGGGCGGGCTGACCCTCGTCGTGCCACGTTCCGCAGACTGCTCTTTGTCTCTCCTGGTTAGCGCGGGGCTCGATACAGTGGCGCTAAGGGTTCCAGCACATGATGTAGCGCAGCGCCTTCTGGAGGCGGTCGCGCGACCGCTCGCAGCCCCTTCTGCCAATCCGTCCGGTCGCTTGAGCCCAACCGAAGCACTCCATGTGATGGAGGGACTGGGGGGCGAAGAAGCTCTGTCCTTTGTCGTTGATGGAGGCTCGTGCAGTCTGGGGCTTGAGTCGACGGTGATTGGTCTCCCGAAAGATGGTCCGCCAACGTTGCTTCGGCCCGGCGCCATTCCACGTGCCGAGATTGAAGCGGTTCTGGGTAAACCCTTGTTAGATCCAGAAGCGCCGGGAGGCGCAGAAGGACGCTCATCTCCGGGCATGCTCGCGAGCCACTACGCGCCCAACGCATCATTGCGACTTAACGCAACAGAATGCGGTGAGGATGAAGTGCTCCTCGGATTCGGGGACGTGGAATGCGTGCTCAACCTCAGCCCCGCTGGCGACGCAAGCGAAGCTGCCGCCAATCTCTTTTCCATGCTGAGAAAACTCGATGCAGAAGCGGGCGGCATGAGTCTCGCTGTGAGCCCCATCCCTATGGAAGGCCTTGGCGAAGCGATCAATGACCGGCTGGCGCGGGCTGCCGCACCTCGGGATTAGATTGAGAACAACAAACAGATAAAAGCCACCATCGCTGTAATCCCTAGTGTCCACGTATCAAAAGCAAGCATTGGCCGTGTCTCAAAAGCCTTCTGAATAGAACCCGGTAGATAAACAAAGAAACCAGGAATAGGCGTGTTCTCTCGGCGTCCTTCCATTGCTCGAATTCGTATGCCGCACCAGCCCAACGCCAAACCAACCCCTGCAACGAACAGAGAGATTCCGGTTACAACACAAACTAGTAGAAATGCAATTGCTCCAAAGAAATGCGGCACTACAATCATTTGCAGCTTTTCTTCTGCAATATCTTGCTCTCGGATGGACACCCGGTACCTCCGAAAGAATGGCCAGTATCCATTGAATGCCTGTATCGAAGCCATCCAATAAGCTGCACCACAAAAAACAAATGCGATGGCGATGTCGAACAATCTATCGGCCTCTAAAATGCTGGGTCCTGACCAATCAGCAGTGTTGGAATGCCGTGGGTTTCAGGCTTCACGGTTGCTACCAATGTTCCCTTCTTCCGTCCAGTACGCACCCCTGACACATTCACACCTGCCTGCGTCAGCCGTTCCTGCATGAGGGCCAAGTCCGGTGCGCGGTAAGCGATGCCCCAAAGACTATCCTTCTCCGGCACTTCGTCCTTTGCCGTTGGTGTTACGACTTCGAGCGTTACATTGCCCACTCGGAAGAAGAGCTGCCGCACACCCCATTTTTCAATCGTGTGGTCGAGCGCAAGACGCAGTCCCAACTGTCCTTCGAAAAAAGCGATGAGGTCGTCCGGCCGCGGCGTATTGACCACAACATGATCCACGGCGTCGACTGCCGCGCGGCCATTTACTCCCTCAGCTGTCGGAGACAAGGGGATTGCCAGACGGTCTGCCTGCTCAATCACAAACATGAAAAGTCCCCCGGTCTCATCCGGGGAAAGCATCACATTACGCCAGGCGCGTTCATTGCCTGCCGCGTCTTTTGCCCCACCGGGAATCGGATCGGTGGGATTAAGCCCGGCATCCTTCAAATGACGGACGCAGGCATCCGCATTCACCGTGCCAAACACAAGCCCCATCAGCCCCTCGCCCTCATCTTCCAATTTTGTGCGGATCATGTCGGCGAATTGGCCCTCGCCGGTCGCGGCTACAAACTCAAGATAGGTGTTTCTGAGGCGATAGATGAGATTGGAGGAGCCGAGTCCTGGATGCTCCCCCTCCCAGGACGGTTCGCGCCCCAGAATGCGTGTATAGGTGGATTTGGCGGCGCCAAGGTCCCGCACGGCGATAACAATGTGGTCAATCGTGTCAATCATGGAGGCGAGCCTAGCGGGCCACTCAGCGGCGGCCAAGCTTGCATTTGCGCGACGAAGCTTGCGCTTGTGCTAAACTCGGGCAGCAAAACGGAGTGATCACACAAAATGTCTGTTGCCGAGACCCAAAATCCCCAATTTGAGCTGGATGACCTTCCAGAGCTTGTTGAACGCTTCCATGTTCCCGGTGCGTCGATCGCCGTCTGGCATGGTGGTGCGCTGTCTGAAGCGGCGGCTGGTGTGGTCAATCTGAACACTGGCGTTGAAGCCACGCAGGACACGCTCTTCCAGATCGGATCTATTACCAAGCTCTACACCACGGTGCTCGTGCTGCAATTGGTGGACGAAGGCTTGCTGAGCCTCGACGAGCCCATCCGGAAATGGTTACCAGACTTCAAGGTCGGCGATGCTGAGGCCACAGCGAAAGTCACGCTTCGGCACCTGCTCACACATACCAGCGGGATTGATGGGGACTATTTTGTCGATGCCGGACGCGGTGAAGACAGGGTCGAGAAATTCGTTTCAGCGTTGGGTGAGCTGCAAAACCTCTCACCCTTTGGTCATATGTTCGCCTATTGCAATGTCGGATTTGTAATAGCTGGCAGGGTGATCGAAAAGGTCACCGGCCTTCCCTGGGACAAGGCGATGCGCACCCGCATCGTGAAAAACATCGGGACGCCCTCCTTTTCGACTCTGCCCGAGCAGGCGATGCGTCACCGAACGGCAATTGGTCACCTGGGAACGCCCGGCAAAGGCTTGATGGTGTCGCCCATTGCCTACCTCGCGCAATCGAATGCCCCTGCCGGTTCTACCCCGATGGCAACAGCCAAAGACATCGTGACCTTCGGGCGGACACTGATGGATGGTGGCGTTGCGCCCAATGGCCATCAACTGATTTCTAAAGAAAACACAGCCCTCATCGCCCGTCCGCACTGCGCCTGCCCCCCCGGCGGCTCGCTCGACGGAATTGGGCTTGGTGCCTTTCTCTGGAACTGGGGCGGTAGGTTGGCTGAGCAGGAATATGATGTGTTTGGGCATGACGGCTCGACCATTGGACAAGCCGCCTTCCTGCGTATTCACCCGAAGAGCGGCACCGTTGTCGTTCTCCTTACCAATGGGGGCGATGGCAAAGGATTGGCGCAAGCTCTCCTGACCCGGATATTTACGGCGACATCAAACATTGCACCGCAGGAAATACCATCACCCGTAGGAACAGGCGAACAGCTCGGTCCCTATGTGGGCACCTACGCCAAGACAAGCGAAACGGCACATGTAACCCTAAAAGAGGGGACCCTCTACGTGACGATCCAGCCAAGCGCCAATTTTGGGGTCATTGGCAGTGGTGGGGAGGTCGAACTCAAATCCGTCGGGGAAGGCCGCTTTGTAGGCACCAATCCAGGCATGTCGCAGTCGGTCAATTTCAATTTTCTGGAACCGGACGATCGAGGTCGACCGCGATATCTTTATTCAGGTGCACGCGCGCTCACACGGGTGGATGACTGAAATGAGCGATGAGTTTCTTGCTCAGGTCTGCGCGATCGTTGGCGAGAGTGGCGTAACCACCAACGCAGACGACATGGCGCCCTATCTTGAAGAACGCCGAGGCCTCTATTTTGGCAAGGCAGCAGCCATTGTACGGCCAGGGTCTACAGAAGAAGTCGCCGCCGTCATGAAGCTTGCGCATGAGACGGACACTATTGTCGTACCGCAGGGCGGCAATACAGGCCTTGTGGGCGGGCAAACGCCTGATCAGAGCGGCATGGCCATTGTCCTCAACCTGAGCCGCATGAATGCTGTGCGCTCCCTCGACGTAGAGAACAACACGCTGAGCGTTGATGCCGGCGTGACACTTGCGGCAGCGCAGGACGCTGCAGCGTCTGCCTCTCGTCTTTTTCCTCTTAGCCTTGCGTCCGAGGGTACCTGCCAGATTGGCGGGAACCTCGCGACCAATGCAGGCGGGACAGCGGTTCTTCACTATGGCAATGCACGCGACCTGGTGTTGGGTCTGGAAATCGTGCTTGCCGATGGGCGCATCTGGGATGGTATGCGCGGTTTGCGCAAAGACAATACAGGCTACGACCTCAAACAAATCTTTTTGGGTTCAGAGGGCACGCTCGGCATCATTACCGGTGCTGTTCTGAAACTCTTTCCATCACCTAAATCACACGCAACAGCAATCGCTGCAGTCCCCACACCGGCAGCGGCTGTTTCTCTTCTCCGGCATGTCGAAGCTGAGAGCGGCGGTGCCATCACCGGTTTCGAACTCATGCCGCGCACCGGCATTGAGATGGTCTGCACCCACGTGCCAGGTGCCCGAGACCCGCTCAGCACTCCCTCGCCCTGGTATGTACTTGTGGAACTGTCATCCGGCAGCAATGGCGATGAGCTCAATACGTTGCTCGAAACGTCTCTCACCGGTGCGATTGAACGGGTATTGGTCTCAGACGCGGTTGTCGCGCAGTCAGACACTCAAAGGGCAGAGTTCTGGCAGGTTCGCGAAGCCATGTCAGATGCTCAGCGCCATGAAGGCGGCAGTATCAAGCATGATGTGTCTGTGCCGATTTCAAACATCACCCGCTTTCTAGAGCGTGCGATAGAGGCGGTACAATCCGAACTGCCTGGCATTCGGCCCGTGCCTTTCGGTCATCTTGGGGACGGGAACATCCACTTCAATCTGAGCCAACCCAAAGCCATGGCGACAGAAGCTTTCCTGGATCAATGGACCCATTTCAACCAAATCGTTCATGGGATCGCGCTTAACCTCGATGGGTCGATCAGTGCTGAGCACGGTATTGGTCAGCTCAAGCGGGATGAGATGGCGGCGCTCAAGTCAGATGTTGAGTTGGATCTGATGCGCACGCTCAAGCGCACGCTTGATCCAAAAGGCATTCTCAATCCAGGAAAAGTCTTGAGGGTCTAACGCGCTCACGCTTTGGCTGCGTCCGCTTCCTTCAAGAGCAAGGAACTGTCAGCAGATGGCGCACCATCTGCACCGCCGGAGAGAAAATCACCAATTGGCAGGTTTTGCGCCGGCACGATCAGAATCTTATCAACCCGCGGCCCATCCATATCAGCCACCTCAAAACGGTAGCCATTCCATGCGAAGTAATCACCCTCTGTCGGCAAGCGCTCAAACCAATGCAGCATAACGCCAGCAAGCGTGTTCACATCACCGGTATTGTCGCCCGGCAGACTTGTTAGCATCAGGAGACGTTTCACTTCGTCAACGGACACAACCCCATCCACAAGATAGGAGCCGTCTTCCCGCTGTACGATGGCGGTATTGTTGTCAGAGGCGTTGGCAGATGTATCGCCTACCATGGCAAAGAAAATTTCGGCCATGGTCAGCGTGCCAACAATGTCGCCATATTCATCGACAATGAAGCACATGAACTTGTTCTCAGCCTGAAGCAGGCTGAGTGCTTTCAAAACGGTAGAGGTGCGCGGCACGTAGAGAGGCGGCGTCATGCGTGCGAAGAGTGCTTCATTGGTCGCTTTCTCGATGTTCGAGAACAGATCCTCCATGCGCACCATGCCAACTGTCGGACCATCCGGACCTTTACGTACCGGGTAGCGCTGACTTTCGTTCGCACGAATCAGAGCCATGTTTTCTGCAAAACTCGCATCCGTATCAAGCCAGACCAGCTGCGTTCGAGGGCGCATTACCTCACCAACGCGGGTGTCGCCCAATCCGAGCACACGGTTCACAATGTCGCGCTCGACGCTCTCGACGGCGCCGGTGGCAACGCCCTCTTCCACCAGATGCTTGATTTCTTCTTCCGTCACCTCAACCACGTCCTGACCCGTTGCGCCATAGGCTTTCAGAACAGATTCGGTTGAGTAAGACAGCAGCGTCACAGCGGGCGAGAGCGCGCGGGTCACTGCCACCATCGGGCGGGCAATCTTGATCGCGATCCGCTCCGGGTTGGACAGGGCGACCCGTTTGGGCACCAACTCGCCAATGATCAGTGAGAAATAGGTGATGATGATAACAACAAGGGCGAACGCGATGGGCTCGCCATATTCGGCCAGCATTTCCCACCCGCCGATAACTTCGCCCAAGGGGGCCGCCAAAGTGGCGCCACCAAAGGCACCCGCAAAGACCCCAACCAGGGTGATGCCGATCTGGACGGCAGATAGGAAACGGCTTGGATCCTGGTTCAGGGAGATCGCGAGTTCGATACCGCCGGTGCTGCTTTTCCCGGCCTCTTGCTGCCTTGTCAAAAGGCCAAGCAGGCGCTGCCGCCTGGATGACACAATTGCCATCTCAGACAGGGAGAAAAAGCCATTCAAAAGGATGAGAACGGCGAGAATAACAATGTCGGCTGCCATGACGTCTCCAGAGTCGGATACATAGTATACAGCACTTGGTTTTCAAGCGGAATCGCCGGGACGGAGATTTCTTCCCCAGCGTCAATTAGACCTTTGCCCCCCCTGGAATAGCCATATTTTCCAAGCGGCTTTGCGTACTCAGAGGAGACTGAGTTGATCATCGTCAGGCGGGGCCTGTTTTGAGCTGTCTGGTATTGCCTGATCCGCATCGGGATCAACGATTTGTGTCAGTCCCGCATCATCCTGAGAAATCTTGTTCACCCGTGGGCTGACAGGAACTGCCTCCATCACATCGTCAGGCGCAGACCTTAGGAGCTCCGCAGCCTCCTTTGCGGACGTACCCTTGTTGTCCAGCCAGGCATCCCAATCTTTTGGGTCCAATATGACCGGCATGCGATGATGGACAGGTGCCAGTCGGTCATTTGCCGCCGTCGTTACCACCGCACAGGTTTCCAGCTCTGACCCGTCGGCGCTCATCCAATCGTCCCATATGCCTGCCATAGCGAAAGGCGCACCATTACTACGCTGAATAAGGTGGGGCTGCTTTGGACGCCCTTCGCGGGCCTGCCATTCATAGAAGCCGTCTGCAGGAATGAGGCACCGCCGGTGCCGGAAGCCGCCTCGGAAGGAAGGTTTCTCATCAATTGTTTCTGCCCGGGCATTTATCAGAACGGACTTTGGCATCTCCTTCATCCAGGAAGGTACCAACCCCCACCTGACCAGCTGGAAATGTCGCTTGCCTGCAACCAGCCGAACGATGGGCACGGGCTGTGTCGGCGCGATATTGTATCGCGGCGGAAAGTTCGGATGCTCTTCAAAGTCGAAGAAGGCCCGCAGCTCTTCCGGTGACCGTTCGATTTTGTAGCGACCGCACATGGACTTGCTATTTCTTCTCGACAGATTCAGCAGGGTATCCCGCTTCGGCCCAGGCGGTGAAACCACCACGCATATGCGCCACGTTTTTAAGCCCAACGTCATGGGCAGCCTTGCCTGCAAGAGCCGACCGCCAGCCTTTGTTGCAGTAGAAGATGAACTGCTGGTCCGCTGCCTTAAAAATGTCTTTGAAATAGGGACTTGTTTCGTCCACCCAGAATTCGGTCATGCCACGTGGCATGTGATAAGCGCCTGGGATGCGCCCCTCACGCCAGATTTCACGGATGTCCCGGGCATCAATCACGGTGACATGCGGTTCCGCATACAAGGCTTTGACGTCGTCCACACTCAAACAGTCAATTTGTGTTTCCGCCGCATCGACGAGCTCTAGTATGGTGGGCATGAGCGAGATCCTCTTCAACTAGGCAATTGTTAGTGATTCATTGTATCACGTGTCGAGCAACCACCGCGAGATTGATGCTGCTGGCCCCTGCTATCTTGATGAGATAGGGTGCGCCGTTTTCCATGAACGTGCTGGAACCCATGAGCAGACCCACCTTGATTGAACTTAGCGATGTTTCGGTCCGCCTTGGCGGCCGGGAAGTCCTTACGGATGTGGACCTTCAGGTGAACCGGGGCGAAATTCTCACCCTCATTGGGCCGAATGGGGCGGGAAAGACCACCCTTGCGCGCACCCTTCTTGGGATTTTGAAACCCTCATCAGGCCTCGTCAGCACCGATGAAGGCGCACGGATTGGCTACGTCCCTCAACGCATGCAGATTGAAGCAGCTCTTCCACTCACTGTGCGCCGTCTTCTTTCACTGACGCGCACCTACAGCGAAGACGAGATGAAGCGGAGTCTCACAGAGGTAGATGCAGCACATCTGCTCGACCGGCAAGCTGCTGAGCTTTCCGGCGGCGAATATCAGCGTGTTCTTCTTGCGCGCGCCCTTCTTGGATCGCCTGACCTCCTGATCCTTGATGAGCCCACCAGCGGAATTGATTTTGCTGGTCAGAGCGCACTCTATGACCTGCTTGCGACCATCAGGCAGGAAAGAGGGTGCGCAATCCTGCTCATTTCTCACGATCTGCATGTGGTGATGGCTGCCTCCGACCGCGTTATTTGCGTGAATGGTCATGTCTGCTGCGAAGGCGCGCCAGAAGCGGTGACGAGCGACCCTGCTTATGTCGCCCTATTTGGTCCGGGCCACGCAGAATCACTAGCCGTCTTCAAGCACCATCACGATCATGTCCATGATGTTTCCGGTCATGTGCATGGGGAGGACGAACCCCATGTTTGAAGAGTTTTTTGTTCGTGCTCTCTTGGGTGGGATTGGTGTTGCGCTGATTGCTGGTCCGCTTGGGTGCTTTGTCGTCTGGAGACGCATGGCCTATTTCGGAGACGCCCTTGCCCATTCGGCACTGCTTGGCGTCGCACTTGGCTTCCTTCTTTCCATTGAACCGGCCCTTGGTGTGTTGGTTGCAAGCGCAGTCCTCGCTGTCGCCTTTACGTTTCTTCAGAAACAGCAACGTTTTGCAGCAGATACAGTGCTCGGACTACTCGCCCACTCTGCACTCGCACTCGGCCTCGTTGCTCTCGGCTTTTTAGATCATTTACGGATCGACCTTATGGGCTACCTCTTTGGGGATGTTCTGGCTCTTTCCTGGAACGATGTCGCCCAAATATATGTAGGTGCCGGTGTGGTCCTTGCTGGACTGCTCGCCATCTGGCGGAAGCTCCTGGCTGTCACAGTGGACCCGGAGCTCGCACAAGCCGACGGCATTCATCCGCTTACTATTCGTCTCCTCTTCAGTCTCTTGCTTGCGGTCGTCGTCGCGCTTGCCATGCAGGTTGTTGGGGTTCTTCTTATCACCGCGCTACTGATCATCCCGGCTGCCGCGGCCCGACGTTTCTCCTCAACACCGGAACAGATGGCGGTCCTGGCCGCCCTTGCTGGAGCATTCTCAGTGGCACTTGGGCTTGGGGGGTCCTTCTCCTTTGACACAGCCTCCGGTCCATCGATCGTCATTGCTGCATTGCTGCTTTTTCTCGGTGCAAACGGCCTGGCCGCGCTGCTCCAGAGAGCCCGAAGCAAATAAAAGTCACCCACAACGCCATTTTTGGCAGTTTTGTGCTGTTTTCAAGACAACCAAATATCAAGATCTAATCCCTACTTTAGGTCGTTGGGGTTGGCGATTTTCGGCTGCATTGCTGCAGGTCGGAGGTATGCAGAGGCAAGATGGCGACGGATGTAGAAACATTCCGGGATGATATGGAGCGTCCAGCGGGTGGCATTGGCTTTCCGCGCACGCTGCGTCTGCTCGTCCAGGGCAAAAATATCAATGAAGATACGCTGCTGGCTACCGACTATCTCAACCATTTCAACGAGATCGTCATGCTGCTGGAATTGGTTGCCGACATGCCCGATTGCCTTGAAGACGCGCTTGAATGGAAGCCAAAGAGCTACGAGGACCATTTCGAGGATTCCAGCTTTCAGAACAAGGCGCTCGCCATATTCGCTTATGAAAACGCTCCGCGACGCTACCGGGAACCTTTCGATCAGTTGGTGCAGCAAATGGATGCCACGGTCATTGCCGCATTGAAGGGCCTGAGTGCGTCATCGGAGCTGGGTGACGCAGAAAAAACGCATCTGCTTGTCTCACGGGTGACGACAAAGCTGCAACGCTTTGTCGACGTCGCAAGCGCGGTGATCCACGGTCGCGTCGAGACCTCCGGCCAGGATGAAATCGATACGCTGCTCTCAGAAATCGATGATGAAGAAGCAACGCCAGAAACCGACTCGCCCGAAACCGAAGCTCCCGCGCCGCTCGGCGAACAGGATGACGCAGCGTCTCAAGCCCAAATTGACGCCCTTTTTGACTAGCCTTGCGTCGCCGTGTTCAGCCTCCAAAGGACACTCGTTCTGGCGCGCGTCAGTGCTATAGTCTCCCTAACAAATATCACTAAGAAGAGAGACTCTGGGGAGACGATCATGACTTACAAACCTTTTGACCTGACTGGCAAAGTTGCCCTGGTAACAGGCGGCAATGGCGGCATTGGCCTTGGTATGGCAGAAGCCATGGCGGCAAGCGGTGCTGACGTGGCTATCTGGGGCACGAATGAAGAGAAGAACGCCAAGGCAGCTGAAGCACTCAAAGCGCATGGAACGAAAGTCGCTGTTCGCCGTGTGGATGTTTCCAACGAACAGGAAGTGATTGACGGCGTTGAGGCGACTGTCGCCGAGCTCGGCCGTATCGACACGGTTGTCGCCAATGCCGGGATTGGATTTGGGTCGCCCTCTTTCGTCGACATGACGACTGAGGTCTACAGGAAGGTCCTTGCAGTCAATTTGGATGGTGTTTTTTGGACCCTGCGTGAATCCGCACGGCACATGGTCGAGCGGTCAAAAGACGGTGACAAGGGCGGGTCCCTTGTGGGCATCGCAAGCCTTGCAGCGATTGAAGGGGCGGCCCGCAATCAGGCCTATGCCGCAACGAAGGGCGGGGTTATCTCCATGATCAAAGCCTGTGCGTCGGAATATGGCCGATACAACATTCGCGCGAATGCCATCCTCCCGGGCTGGATTGCCACAGACATGACATCTCAGGCTCAGGCCGCGCCCGCGTTCGCTGAAAAAGTGATCCCGCGCGTGCCGATCCGCCGCTGGGGTGAGCCGGAAGATTTTGGTGGAATGGCTGTCTATCTTGCGAGCGACGCCTCAACTTACACAACAGGCACGACCATGATCATTGATGGTGGCTACTCAATGTTCTGATGTCACTCTGTTCTGGACAGGCGTCTGTTGATTTGAATAAGGCCTGGGCGGCAACGTTCAGGCCTTTTTCAGGCCTCCGGTTTCGGCGCGTTTCCTGCAGTTCCTCGTCCATGATGTTGGATTATGTACGAAATCGACAGCAACGCCTGGTTGACCTGTCCCAGATTGGGACAAAACAGCTGATGCGTCCTGCTATGGGGCTGGCGGCCCTTTTGATGGTGTCCCTCGCCTTTGCAGGAAGTGCCAATGGGGAAACCCGAAGCGGCGCCAGCGAAGGAGAAATGGTCCGCTTGGCTGAGATCCTGGGCGCCGTGCATCATCTCCGTGAGGTCTGCAATGCCAATGAAGGACAGCTCTGGCGCTCTAAAATGCAGGACCTGTTACGCCATGAGATGCCCTCAACAGACATGAAAGAACTGATGGTGGCTCGCTTCAACCGGGCTTATCACCAACACCGGCTGGCCTATCCAAGGTGCACGGGACAGGCACGAACAGATGCCGCCCGCTTTCTCGATGAAGGCTCTGGCCTGGCACAACGGTTGGCCGCCAGAACCCGCGGCTGACCGCCATCTACCTAAGAATTTCTCGGGTTTTTCAGTCTGATATTAACCTTTGGCCCAACTTGTGACGGGACAAAGCGGCGATATGTGTTAAAAGGAACCCACGCCCTGTTCCAATTCGGGACAGGACACAACATGTTCCTAAAGGCGGCACCAAAAGCTGCCTGTTTCAAGAAAGGCCGCCACCGCTCATGGCCGACTCTCGCGACACCGCTGCCGACGATCTCCTTCACGAAGATGAAGAATTCGAGTTCCCGCTTCCAGATGACGACGAGCAGCGCCGTATTGCTCTTCAGATATTTCTGGATGCCTGGGACGATGCGCTTGCCGAAGGCGTAAACCCGGATGTTCTCGCCAGCACCGCCATCTTCGCAGCGTTCAGTGACATGGTAGAGACCTATGGCGAAGAAGCGGTGAGCGAAATGGCTGAGGGTATGAAGGCCCGCGTCCAGCAGGGCGAGTTCACTCTCAACCAGACCCGCCACTAAGATTATCGACCCAACAAAAACGGCGCTTCGCTGGTCAGCGGAGCGCCGTTTTGTGTGTCTAAGATCTGTTGTTAGTTAGATCACCGCTTCGATCAGATGCGGGCCTTTTTCTCTCATACAAGCCGCAAATTGTTCAGCAAATTCCTCAGCGGTTTCCGCGCGCGTGGAGTTAACCCCCATGCCCTGGCCCAACTGCACCCAATCCAACTCAGGATTGTGCAGGTCGAGCATGGACAGCGCCTTTGGCCCTGGATTCTCAGCACCCACCCGCATCAGCTCTACATTGAGGATCGCATAGGACCGGTTCGCAAAAATCACCGTTGTGACGTCAAGCTTCTCGCGTGCTTGTGTCCAGAGCGATTGCAGCGTGTACATGGCGCCACCATCTCCGTGCAGACACACAACCTTGCGGTCGGGACAGGCAACTGCCGCGCCGGTTGCAACCGGCAGCCCTTGCCCAATCGCCCCACCTGTTAGCGAGAGATGGTCATGGGGCGCTGCGGTCGCTGTGTAGATCGCTGGCCCGATGCCGCTGGTCGCTGCTTCGTCGGAGACAATGGCGCCTTCCGGCAGGTAATGCGCGACCACCTGTCCGGCGGTGAAGCTGTCGAGTTTCCCGGTGGGCAGATCCGGCAGTTCGAGCTTGGCAACATTCATCGGTCCGGTTGGTGCACCAACGGCTTCCGCCAACGCTTCCAAGGCCCCCGTCCCGTCTTCGTGAGGATGCGCCAATATATTGATCTCACACCCTTCCGGCGTCATCCAACTGGCTTTACCGGGATAAGCAAAGAAGGAAACAGGCGGCTTGGCTCCCACAAGAACGAGCTGCTCGGTTCCGGCCAGATCTTCTTCAATCTGTTCGGAGAAGTACGGCAGACGGTCCACCATGACCCGCCCTGCGCCGCGTTGTATGCGTGCGGTAAAGGTATCGCACATGATCCGCGCGCCGGTTTTGGCAGCGATCCGCCCTGCCGCTAACAGTCCATCTTCTTTGAGCGCAGCGCCCCGGATCAGGATCGCCGTCTTCTTCCCGTTTTTTAGCAGTGCGGCAATGCGATCAACTGCGGCGCCTTCAACAGCGGCGGGCCCCACAATGTCGAGCGCCGGTGAGGATCCTTCCGCCTCAAGCCAGGCGGTATCTGCGGGCAAAACCAACGTGGCGATCTGGCCGGGCGCAGACATGGCGGCCTGCACCGCCCGCGCGCCATCTGCTGCAGCCGTCTTTGGCGACGGCGATGAGTGATACCAACCTGACACTGGCGAGGCGAACCCCTTCAGGTCAGACGCGAGTGGTGCATCATACTGGGCGTGATAGGTGGCGTGATCGCCGACAATATTCACTATAGGCGTGTCAGCTCGGCGGGCATTGTGAAGATTCGCCAGGCCGTTTGCGAGGCCAGGGCCCAGATGGAGTAATGTTGCCGCTGGTTTTTCTGCCATACGGCCATATCCGTCAGCAGCCCCCGTTACCACGCCTTCAAAGAGCGCCAAAATTGCCCGCATGCCCTCAACTTTGTCGAGTGCCGCCACAAAGTGCATTTCCGATGTGCCTGGATTTGTGAAGCAGACGTCGACGCCACTATCAACAAGCGTACGAACAAGGCTTTCCGCACCATTCATGGATTTTCTCCCTGAGAATTTCTATGCCGGTTGTCGCCATATGCGCCCGGACGTTTCTTCAATGATACACAGATCACGCACACGTGCGCTAGAGAGACAACCAAAGTCTCAGCAGGTGCCGTCGCTCCGCAGGATCCTCATGGTCTTCATAGTCTGTGCGAGCGTGCAGATTGGTATGGTTCGACAAGAGTTGAATGTCGCCGGGCTGCAAATCCATATCCAGGTAGATGCCAGATTCTGCCGCGATCTGCTCATAAGTGTCGAGCAGTGCCCGCTCGTCTTGTGTAAAAGGCGGTACTTCCGCGTGACGCACAGCAGAGCGAAAATAATCCGAATGATAGAAAGTTCTCAACTTGCCACCGGCATGGCAGCAGGGTGTGATGGGAATGCTGCCCGGCGCATCGTCCTTGGACTCGCCCCGCGAATCCAGTTGGAACGGCTCGAACAGGCGCGCCACCAGGTCTGGCCGTCGTTTCACAAGTTCATTGAAGACGGTGACGGAACTGACAATCCGGCTCTGACCGCCTGACTTCGCTTTCTTAAGGCAAAGAAGGCCCACAACATCAGCCGCATCACAATGGTAATCGATGTTCGCTGATGTCTGATAGAGCCGGACCATGGGATCAGTCTTTGAGGCATTTGTATCTGTCACATGCCCCAGGAGATCGCCCTGCGGATTTTGCCCGCCAGGTCGTCCAAGATGCAGGCCAAGGCACCAAAAGAAAAGCTCAGCATCATCCCGCGACCAACGCTCAACCGGCACGCCTCTGATCACCTGAAACCCAATACCCCCGCCTACTGCATCGCGCCATTGACGAATACGAGCCGACAAGGTCGGCAGCGGGAAGTCGTCTGCAAGAAGATCGCGATCGGCCTTGCCGCTAGCTTTCGCTCTCGCCAGCCCTGCATCCATTTCCGCTTTGTCGTCTTCAGTCAGCACATAAGCTAAGTCTTCCAGCAACGGGAGATCACGACCGATCCAGGCTGCTGGGCTGGTGATCTCAGACGTGGTGACGGCCTCGTGGGGGCGATCAAAATAGTGAAGTGCCTGCTCTCCAAAGGAACGAAAGCCCTGTTGCTTGTCTAACATTCTGTCCTCCCCACACCGAATGTGCGCACCCTAATCGCAGGCAATCATTTAGATCACGATAGTAGAAGGCGCCCAAGAATACCCGCACCAAACAAGACGATGATCACCGCTGAGACTTTATTCAGAAGAGCCAGCCCGGTGTCGGTCATGCGGTCGCGAAACAGGGAGACAAAGCCGGTGATTGCCGCCCACCACAAGACTGACCCCCCAATCACAGAAGCGACGAGAATGCTTGCGCGCATATAGTCTTCAGTACCGATCGTGAAGTCTGCAACACCGCCAAAAATCGCGATAAAGCCCAGCATGGTCGCCGGATTGGTGATGGTGAGAAAAAACGTGACTGAAATCACGGGTAGCAGATCACCAAGACTTCCGTCCGGGAGTTTGTCGTCGAGGTGTGGGTGGTCAAACCAGGTTCGAACGCCAAGTCCCAGCAGAAAGACGCCACCCACCAGCTGCAACCAGCCGGAATAGGCCGCCACAAAGCTGATCACTGCCGTCACGCTAAATGCAGCGACAATCGCAAACACACCGTCGCCCACTGCCGCGCCTGCGCCAGACACGAAGCCGTTCAGCATGCCGTATTTCAATGTCCGGCGGATGCAGATCAGATTGACCGGGCCGATGGGCGCTGCCACGGCAACACCGATCAAAAGCCCGCTCAATATGAGGACCAATATATCCATGAGGCCTTACGCCAGTCCGTTGCGCCTAGAGCACAACCACATCATTGCCGGGTGTTTCCACATAGAGTTTTTTCACCAGATCATCTCTGCGCGCCAAGGCGGTTGATTGGTTGATATAGCCCTTGTCGGTGAGTTCACCCTTGTCGACGCTCGGCGGTTCCACCATCAGAAGCGCACGTTTGATGCGCGTGCTGGAGCCAGGGTTTTCCTGATTATGCGAGCGCAGCCCCTCCGCCAAGGTTTCCAGAACCTTTGGATGACGGACCAACTCTTCGACCGGCAAATCGCCTTCGCCTGCGCAGGCCTGACACGCAGCCAGATTGGGAAAGCCCAAGATGCCGATATAGGCTTTGTCCAGGCCGGCAACCAGCGCGTCCTGCAGGATACCGTTTGAACTGCCGACGGCTTGCACCCGCAAACGCCCTGCGCTCACCCATGTGCCCGTTGACAGCTTAAAGTCCTCGACCACACGACCATCAAATACCAGACCTTCTGCAGGGTTCTCGGGATCAACAAATTTTGCCGCATCGCCAAGCTTGTAAAAGCCCTCTTCATCAAAGGCATCTGCTGTCTTTTCTGGATTTTTATAGTAACCCGTGGTGATGCAGTCGCCCTTCACACGCACTTCGCTCTTGGAGCCAGTGGGTACCAGCTTGATTTCGATACCTGGGAGCGGCAGACCCAGAAGGCCCATGCGTTCCGTCGCCCAATGGACATTCATGATTGTCGGAGCGGTCTCTGTTGCGCCATAGCCGGATGACAAGATCATGCGTTCGCCAATGGTGGCGATAGAGACCTTTTGAAGACGATCATAGAGATCCTGCGCCAGCGCTGCACCGCCATAGGATAGAAACTTCACTCGCGAGAAGAAGTTTTTCGCGAGAACTTCATCCTCTTCCAACGCAGAAATCAAGAGGCCGTAGGCCGCTGGAACGTTGGAGTATGTCGTTGGCGCAATTTCCCGCAGGTTCTGAAGTGTTTCTTCAAATCCACCAGGCACGGGCCGGCCACCATCAATATAGAGCGTGCCACCTGACGTGAGAAGATTGTTCAAAACCGCATTACCACCAAAGCAATGGTTCCAGGGCAACCAGTTCAGAAGCACAGGCGGTTCTTCGTCTTCATCCTTGATGATGAGATTTTCGCCCATCACGGAATTCATGCACATCATGCGATGAGTGGTGATGACCGCCTTGGGCATGCCGGTGGAGCCCGACGTGAAGAGATATTTGGACACCATATCCCAGTGGAGCCCGGCATAGCTTTCTTCGACGGCCGCTGTTGGCGCCGTGGCGACCAGCTCTGCATAGGCGATGTCGCACGGGCCGTCGCAAGCCACGACAGGAATGCCGGTGAGATCAAGCGCGGCAAGCGCGCCCTCAAATGGCCTTGAGTCCTGCACAAAGATCATCTTGGGCTGAATAAGGTCGACGACATATTTCAGCTTCTCGTGATCTGAACTCATGAGCGAGTAGGACGGCGACACAGGTACGGCGGGGGCGCCTGCCAAAATCGCACCATAGGTCATGAGCGCATGCTCAATGGAATTGCCAGAGAGGATCATGAGTGGCGCGTCTTGGGACAGCCCCCGAGCCAACATGCCCGCCGCCAGCGCGTTCACGCGGGCGTTGGCCTGTGAATAGGTCACCGTTTCCCAATCACCAAATTGTTGTCCCTTACTCGGCGCAAGACGTTTGCCGAGCCACACATGGTCGGGGCGTTCAACCGCCCACTTACGGAGGGGTTCAAGCAGATTGAGGGCGGGTTCCCCGACAGGATGGGGATTGCGCAACACAATGCTGCCGTCAGGACGCTCGTCAATTTCGACGCGACGCTCGGCATAGTTCACGTGCCGGTATGGGGGCAGAGTCTCTGCTGGCATATCCATTAGGCTTCCTCCTCAAAGCAATTTGAATGCAGTTTGGCTTAGGCGTTGACGTCGACGACGACGCGTCCGCGCACCTGGCCTGCGAGGATTTTTGGCGCGATCTCGGCCACGTCGCTCAAGCCCACTGTCTCGGTCATGGCATCAAGCTTCGCCATATCGAGATCTGTTGCGAGGCGGTTCCACGCATCCTGCCGTTTTTCAATGGGCGCCATAACGGAGTCGATCCCAATCAGCTGCACCCCGCGCAGGATGAAGGGCATCACAGATGACGGCAGATCTGGACCTTGTGCCAATCCACATGCTGTCACTGCGCCACCATATTTTGTCTGCGCAATCACATTTGCCAGTGTCTTGCTGCCTACAGCGTCAACCGCGCCCGCCCAGCGTTCTTTGCCCAAAGGACGTCCTTCGCCTGAGAGTTCGTCCCGGTCGATGATTTCTGCAGCGCCCAGACCTTTGAGGTAGTTAGCTTCAGATGCACGGCCTGTTGAGGCGATCACGCGGTAGCCAAGCTTTGCAAGAAGTGCAATGGCCACAGAGCCCACGCCACCAGCAGCGCCGGTTACCACGATATCGCCTGAATCGGGCATGATGCCCTGACGTTCCAAACCACGCACACAGAGCATGGAGGTGTAGCCTGCTGTGCCAATGGCCATGGCGCGTTCAGGAGAAATACCGTCCGGCAGAGCGACCAGCCAGTCGCCCTTCACACGGGCGCACTGGGAATAGCCGCCGAAATGTGTCTCGCCAACGCCCCAGCCGTTGAGGATGACCTTGTCGCCCTCTTTCCAGCTGCCATGCTCTGACTTTGTGACGGTGCCGACAAAATCGATCCCTGGAATGATTGGCCAGGTGCGCACCACAGGTGCGGCCCCCGTCAGGGCCAGGCCGTCTTTATAGTTGATCGTGGAATGGGTGACCTCGACCGTCACATCACCGTCCATCAGATCATTTTCGGTCAACTCAACAATGTTGGCCGCTTGTCCGTCGTCGGTTTTGGAGAGCTGAAGGGCGCGAAAGGTGTCACTCATGAGATTTCCCTATGTCATGTGGTGCGCGGCTTTTTGGCTCAATGAGCCGCCGCGCTGCCATTTGTTGATTTTGTTGGGCACAACCCACCTGAAAACAGCCGCTTGGTCAAGCAATCCTCCTCAAAGCAGCTCGAAAACCAAGAAATGTGGGATAAACTCCTCCCATGCGTCCCGCTTTCACCCACATCGCCCTCCATGTGGCAAATCTCGACCGGTCCATCCGGTTTTATGAGGATTATTGCGGCCTTGAGACCGTGCATCTGCGCGATGAACCGGAAGGCGGCAATGTGGCGTGGCTCGCCGAACCCGGCAAAGGGGACCAGTTCGTGGTGGTCCTTATCGACAAGGGCAGTCCCCTGCCGCAATCGGACGGGGATTTCAGCCATCTGGGCTTTGCCTTGGAGAGCAAACAGGCCGTTGATGATGTGGCCGCGCGCGGCGGAGACCTGCTTGCCTGGCCGCCCCGCCAGGCGCCCTATCCGGTTGGCTATTATTGTGCTCTGAAAGACCCGGACGGGCGCTTTATCGAATTTTCCTACGGTCAGCCGCTAGGTCCTGGCGCGGAGCTCGCAGAATCGACGGGCGTTTAGCCGCGCGGCAGCACTTCTGTGAAAGTCACCGGCTCCCCGCCAGCTTTCCCGAGAATCTCATCATCCCACATCACCCGGCGCCCGCGGATCACCGTGCCAATGGGCCAACCGGTCATGGTGCGGCCGCTGAAGGCACTCCATTTGGACACGGACGCGATCCAGTCATCTTCGATGGTGCGGCTCTTTTTCATGTCCACAATGGTGAGGTCCGCGTCATAGCCAACGGCGATACGGCCTTTACGGGCCGTTCCGAACACACGGTTTGGACCGTGTGATGTCAGGTCCACAAAACGCTCAAGGCTGAGCTTGCCCTCGTTCACATAGTTCAACATGACGGGAACGAACGTCTGCACGCCGGGCATGCCGGACGGTGCCTTCGGATAGGCTTGTGCCTTTTCCTCAAGTGTATGCGGTGAGTGGTCTGTCGCCACGATGTCCACGATGCCCGCCGCAATACCCGCCCACAGACCTGCACGATGCTCGGCTGTGCGGATAGGTGGGTTCATAAGCGCGCGCGTTCCAATCTCCTGGTAGCAATCCGGTGCCGCGAAGGTCAGATGCTGAGGTGTTACCTCAACCGTGGCGATGTCCTTGTTTGCAGCCAGGATCGGCATCTCATCCGCAGTTGTGATGTGAAGCACGTGAATACGGGCCCCTTCCTCGCGCGCAAGCCTTAGCAGCCGCTCGGTACATTGAACCGCTGTTTGAACATCACGCCAGACCGGATGTGTTTCGGGCTTGTCCAATTCTGCCAGTTCACGGCGTTCCCGCAGACGGTACTCATCTTCTGAATGGACCGCACAGCGGCGGTTGATCGCACGGAGTACAGCGCGCACATGATCATCGTCCGGCACAAGTAGATTGCCCGTTGAGGATCCCATGAAAATTTTGACACCACAGCAGCCAGTCTCGCGCTCAAGGTCCGCAAGGATATCCGCATTCTCGGTGGTCGCCCCGACATAGAACGCATAGTCACATTGCATACGGTGATGAGCGCGCTTCACCTTGTCCGCCAAGGCTTCGGAGTTCGTGGTCGGCGGTTTGGTGTTCGGCATTTCAAAGACGGCTGTCACGCCACCTAAAACGGCGGCATTGCCACCAGCTTCCAGATCTTCTTTGTGCTCATTGCCAGGCTCACGCATGTGAACCTGGGTGTCGATCACGCCTGGCAGTACATGAAGCCCTGTCACATCAATGCGTTCACCCGCATCCGCTTTTGACAGGTCGCCAATGGCAGCGATGCGCCCGTCCCGAATACCGACATCGGTTATTCCCGTCCCGTCCTGATTGACGACAGTCCCGCCGGAATAGATGACGTCGAAGGTCTTGGGAATGATGTCGGACACAGAGGTCTCCTTGCCTGAATGTCGGGCCTGTCTAATGGCCCTGTCTGTTGGTGGCCTTGTCGAAAAGGTCGCTTGCCGCTTTCACAACCAGATCAACGGTCAAGTCGGTCATGGCACTGTCTGGGCTATCAAAATCGTATGTCGGGTCTGAGGTGATCTCATCACATGTTCGCCCTCCCCGTATAGAGGCGCAATTGTCGCCCCATGGCGCATAGAGATCATCGCGTGTGGGCCCGAAAAGGCCGAGTGTGGGGATACCAGCAGCAGCCGCCAAATGCATGAGGCCGGAATCATTGCCGACGAACAGGGCTGCCCGCTCAAATTGCGCATAGGTATCAATGAGATCGGCGCCTATCTGGTCGATCAGTCGGTCTTGAGGCACGGCATCATAGAGTGCTTTCACCTGGGCCTGCTCACCTGGACCACCGGTCAGGAGAAGGTGTCCACCCTCCAACCGGCCTCCAGGACCGGTCATTGCCTGCACAAGCTCTGCAAAACGCTCCTGCGGCCACATTTTCTTTGGCCAGTTGGCGGTTGGCCCTATTGCGAGAATGGGCACTCCCTCCGGCAGCAGGGCCTTCGCCCGCGCCCGCGTGATCTCACTTGGCCATAATCTCGGCGATGGGGGCGGATTGAGCCCCATCACCCCGCCAATATGCTCAACACGGGGCTTTACATGGTCCGGTTTCAGGACAAACCGTTTCCCTGCGCGAAGAACATATGCTGTTGCCGACCCGCGAATATCAACAACTACATCCCACCGGGTTCCAAACGTTGCGCGCAGCAAACGCCACCAATGCAGAGAGTATTTCTCCTTACGCATCACATGGACTTTTGACACGCCAGGTGCCCCTGCAAACAAAGGCGCGGCGACAGGACCACAGGCAACTGTGATGTCTGGCCCGCCTTCTGGACCCGCCAGGGTCTCCATCAAATGCCCCAGCACACCGGTGGACATGATCGCGTCCCCGATCCGATTTGAGGTGATGAAGAGAAGGCGCATGAGACGGTTATCCTTTGAGGTCTGCAATCCTTAGGGCTTGCTCCCGGTTATAGGTGGGCCAACCCGCCCTGCCAAGGCATGTTGCGCCCCAGCTTCCGCTTGCGGGGCAGCGACGAGCGACTTACATCTAAGGCTCCCCATTTCGATGGAAAAACACAAGGTGGTCCTGTGACTAAAGTGAGCCTCTTGCCCGACCGGGTGGTTTGTAAGATTGGTGGCGGAGACGCCCATGATTTCCTGCAGAATCTGTTGACGAACAACCTAGAGCGGGTCTCTCCAACTCAAGGCATCTACACGCTTTTGCAAACACCGCAGGGCAAATATCTATTCGACTTTTTTGTCATCGAACAGGATGGACACTACCTAATTGATTGTGATCGAGACGCCGCACCGGAGCTTTTGAAACGGCTGATGTTCTACAAGCTGCGCGCTGACGTGACGCTCGCAAGCACGGGCGAAGACTGGGTCGTGGGAGCCATTTGGGACACCGAAACGTCTGGTGAAGCTGGCCAAGGGGGTGAGTTTCACAGCGGCCTGCTGTTTAACGACCCGCGGCTTAGCGCATTAGGGCAGCGCTTCATGGTGCCTGCCGCAGCTGCTGACGCGGCTTTGGCAACAGGCGAGGTCAGCTCACCTGAAGATTATGATGCCCATCGTATCACCTTGGCTGTACCCGGTGCGCAAGACCTGCTCGCCGACAAAACCTTTCCCATGGAAGCCAACCTTGATTTGCTGGGCGCATTTGATTTCCAGAAAGGGTGCTTCGTCGGGCAAGAAGTGACCTCGCGCACCTATCGCAAGGGTCAGGTCCGAAAACGCATTGTGACGGTGCGTGCAAACACTGACCTGCCGGCGCCTCGCACGGCGGTGATGGCAGGTGAGCGCCAGGCGGGTGAACTGCTTTCCTCAGCCGGTGCCCAAGGACTTGCGCTGCTGCGTCTAGATCGTCTGGAAGACCCCCTGACCGCTGATGAGATTTCTGTCGAGCCTTCCCTTCCCGACTGGTTGTCTGATGCGGCAATGGGAACCATGAAAGAATGAGCAAGACGCGCTGTACATGGCCTGCGGCTGATGATCCGGTTTATGTCGCCTATCATGACGACGAATGGGGCGTGCCTGAATGGGATGACCGTGCGCTCTTTGAAAAGCTTCAGCTTGATGGGTTTCAAGCCGGGCTTTCCTGGATCACGATCCTGAAAAAGCGAGACAATTTCCGAAAAGCCTTTGACGGCTTCGTGCCTGAGAAGATCGCGCGTTATACCCCTAAGAAAGTTGACCGGTTGCTGCAGGATGCAGGCATTATCCGCCACCGCGGGAAAATTGAAGCAACCATCGGCAATGCAAAAGCCTATCTGGAGATCATGGAAAAAGAGGGAAGCTTTGCCGACTTCCTTTGGGACTTCGTCGACGGTGCGCCCGCTCAGAACAGCTTCAAAACCATGAAGTCAGTGCCTGCCGAGACGGCGATGAGCCGCAAGCTCTCAAAAGAACTGAAATCCCGCGGCTTCAAATTTTGTGGGCCCACCATTGTCTATGCCTTCGCTCAAGCCGTCGGCATGGTGAATGACCATACGACCGATTGCTTCCGTCACAAGGAATGTGCAGCGCTGGCAAAAAAGTAGTGTGCGTTACCAGTTTTCGCCGAACGGACGGATGACAACGTCGGATGACCAGGCTGACCGTGGTTGGTGTGCTACCCGAAAACACTCATCAGCAATATCAACCGGTTTGCAGAAAAACTCGTCGGGCTGATCCGGCAACATTTCCCGCATTCTAGGGACATCAATCACTGCATCAATAGCGACGTAGGCGGCATGCACACCTTGCGGTCCGGCATGACGTGCAATGCTCTCTAGCAATATGCGCTGGGCGGCCTTGGTCGGCGCGAAGGCCGCGAAGTTCGCCTTTCCACGATAGGCCGATGTGTTTCCCGTCCCCAGAATGACGCCATGACCACTTTCAATCATCGCTGGTACCGTCAATTGGGCCAGGTGGAGCAATGCCATCGTGTTGATTTTGAAGTTGAGCTCCAGGGTTTTTGGGGCGACGTCGAGGAAACTCCCAAACGCCCCTCCAACCGCATTGTGGATGACGATTTCTGGTGCGCCCAGATCCGACTGTATCTTGCTCACACAGTCTTTCAACGCATCCGCATCAGACACATCGCAGGGAAAAGCGTGCGTATTGGCGAAATTACTCGCGAGGTCATCGAGGCGCTCTTCATTGCGAGCAATCATCGCAATCGTGTAACCCGCATCCGCAAACCGCCTTACAAGGGCTGTGCCCGTGCCGGGCCCTACACCTGTAATCAGACAAATTTTCTTTTGTTTTGTCATCGCGCTACTGCCTCCTCCAAGAATTCCAACCGATCATTGCCAAAGTAGAGCTCATCTCCCGCGATCATGCTAGGAACACCAAAAACACCGGCGGTCTCAGCTGCATCCATGTTCGACATATGGCCCTCTGCGTTCCGCTCACTGCGGTCGAGAATTGCCGGGATGTTAGAGACGCTGGCCTCGCCCAACAAAGTCGCCAGATCTTGGTCATCGGCGAACGCTGCGCTCTTGACCCAGACTCCGTCGAACACGGCACGGACATATTCTTCTGCCTGCCCAACCTGCTCTGCAGCTACCGCGCCGACCAAGAGACGTTGGCTGTCGATCGTTTGAAAATGCGGATTGAGTGCGAATGGGACATCGTATTTTTTTGCCCACCGCGCGAGGTCCGCCATGGCATAGCGGCCCCTTGCCGGACACTCAACCGTGGTCGGGCGGTTGCCCACCCTCTCCATCAGGGTCAATACATGAATCGGTTTGTATTCAATGCACGCTCCAGTCCGCGCACATAGACCCGGAAGCTGCGTCATTGCTAAATAGGAAAACGGACTGAGAAAGTCGAAGAAGAATTGGATGGCCTTGCTCATGGCGTGCCTCCCTCAATCTCACGATAAGGTACAAGCGCACGGCCGGCGGCACCTTCTGGAAACTCGTTTCTGTCAAACAAACGCTGTTTCGCATCAAAATACGCCCGCGAAAAATCCAGGAGCGGAGATTCCTCCGGCAAGCCGGCAATGCGGACAATACCAAAAAGGCTCGCGGTATTGCCGCTGGTGCCCATATGCCCTTCTGGCCATTCAAATATTTGCACCCAAATTGACCGCGCTGCGCCTTTAATGCCCACTGACCCGGTCGCCTTCAGAATTGCGTCCGCAATCACCCTTTTCGCCAGGGACTTGCGTTCCTGGTTCATCGAGCCTTCGGGCACATTAAGCTCAATCAGAAATTTCCCAGCCTCAGCGACATGGGTGTCATCGGACTTGCCTCCAATAAACCAATCTTCTTTTTCGATTTCTTTGAACCTTACCCAAGCAATAGACCGGCCTCCGGGCGTGTCCTGCCCCCCTTCGATCTCCAACAATACGTGGGTCAACTCTTCCGCAAGCTGGTCTTTCTGATCCCTAGAGAGCGCACCTTTGGGATGATCGACTGTGAGCATTGGCATGATCTGTTCTCCATGTTGTTTATTTTGTAGCTTTAGGATACCAAATAAATTGGTCCTGTAAAGATACCTTATTAATCCTTTTTCGACTCACTTGATATTTTTTAACCATCGTGTAGGTTTCTTAAGGATACTTAAGGAAGACCGATTCAATGACTCGCACCTCGCTTAAAGATTTCAACTGCAGCCTCGCGCAAGCCGCCGAAGTCATCGGCGATAAGTGGACATTGCTGATCCTCCGCGAAGCTTTTTTCGGGACGTCATCATTTTCTGAGTTCAGGAAAAATCTGGGGGTGGCGAAAACCGTGCTGTCAGACCGCCTGCAGTCCCTGGTGGATCATGGTGTTTTGGAACGGGCACCGACTCGGCCGGGTGTCGACCGCCACACTTATCGGCTGACGGCCGCCGGCAAGGATTTTTTTCCAGCCTTGGTCACACTGATGCAGTGGAGCGACAAGTGGGTATTTGGGCCCGGGAATGAACCACTCTGCATTATGGACAAGGAAACTAGGAGTGCGGTTCAGCAAGTTGGTGTTCAAGCGCGGGACGGGCATTTTCTGACACCCCGAGAGACAACATTTGGTCCAGGTCCCGGAGCCAATGAAGAAACTTTGCAAGCCTTTGCGTCACTGAAGCGCGGCAATCGCAGCCCTTAAGGCGCCAACCAGGTGCCGGCCCAGACATCGGCGTCCCATGTAAACCGCGCACGTCGGTTGCCGTTTGGCGACAAAAATAGCCAATCGACTTGTTCAAAAACCATCCGTACCGCCGCAAAATTCGACCGGCCTGTTTCAAGCCTTTCTTCCGAAGGGATCTTGCCTTCAACGTCAGCTGGCAGACCGGAGGCCGGGCCCGACAAAGGCGTCCCTGGCTCAAGCTCCGCGAGATAGGCCCGTCGGCTGGGAGGTGGTGCGCCCGTCCAGGCCGGGTCGGCATATGCATCTGCTTTATGGACTGTGGCCTTGCCACTGACC